TCCAATAGGTATAATTTCAATTTTGCAAAATAAACACACAACTTTTGTTGTTACAAATATATTGCACAACATAATATGCTTAACATTATGTACTGTATACTTTAAAATGATTATGCTAGCAATTTTTTATAGTTAAAAACCTATGTGTATATATAGTATATATTATATATCATATATGCATGCATAATCAAAGAATCGGTGCCATGAAATTTGAACTTTGTCAAGGATACCAATCTATAATAGTCATGAAGAGAGTAGTACTGGTGGATGGAAATATAGCTCAGTGGTAGAGCTGCTGTTTAGCATGCTCAAGACTATAGGTTTAATTCAGAGAGCAAGAAGAGAGAGAGAAAAAAAGAGACAAAGAGAGAAGCAAGACAATGCTGTGCTTTAAGATGCACCCAGTGATATTTGTGCTTTTAGAGACTGTTTGGAAATATTTATTATGTATATATGTGTGTAAATGTGTTTTATACACACGTGTGTACACCTACCTGTGTATACACAGAGGTCAGAGGTGGAAGTTAGGTGTTCTCTGTCACTCTCTGCCTTATTTCTTTAAGACAGGGTCTCTCCCTGAATTTGGAGCTTACGCTTTTCAGCAAAGCTGACAGCTAGCAAGCCCCAGTGATCTTCTTGTGTCTAACCGCTTCAGGGTTGGATTATAGGCATGCACAAGGCCATGCCTGACTTGCTACATGAGTGCTGGAGTTAAGGACAGCTGTTAGCGGCCATGTAAGTGCTGGGAATTGAACCTGGGTCCTCTGCAAGAAAGACCAGTGCTCTTAACATCTAAACCATCTCTCCAGCCTCTCAGTCTTAAGTCTTATGACGGTTGAGTTCATCATAAAGCCCAGCTCTTACCTAACTTTTATTCACTAGTTTTACCATCCGTTGTTGTTTCCAGCCTGAATTCATTCTTATTCTTATGATGATTGGAAACTGAGGACTCTAATCTTTCCTGCTTTTATTACCAAGCATTCCATTATAAATCCTATCTATGCCACCTTCCCCCTCCACCCCATCCTCTCCTCTCTCTGATCTGTTGTTTGAGGCAACCTCTCAGTATGTACTCCAGGGTGGTCTCAGAATCCTCCTGCCTATGCCCCTGGAGTGCTAGGATCTTCTCAGAGCCTTTAATCATTGGTCCATTTATATGAATATAGATTGATGGATTCTGAATTGATTCAGTGGAGATATTTACTGGCACTGTGTATTTTGATATATTATCTTAGACTTGGACAGAAAAGCTCTTTTCAATATGAGTATGGGTGTGCCAAAGCAAGTCCCAGTAAAAGATCTTTGAGGTTGATTTCTGTGGCCTTCTGATCTCAGAAGCTGAGAACTTTCTTACTTCTTGGTACAAAAAGATGTTCCTGGTCACATGGTCCCTGCTTTGGTCCAGAAACTTGCCATTTCTCTAAGAAGCTCTGCCTTCCCTTACTGGAGAGATATTTAGGAGCCAGAATCTGGGCACTGGATTTGTTCATTCCTACTGGAGGGATAAAATGCTGTTTCCATGGCTTCAAAGTGGGTGGACAAGTGAACACACAAATATAGCAGGAGGTAGCAAGTAAGGATGATTCAAGGATTATGGGAACAAAAGACAAGAGACATCTAATCCAAAGTTCCGTGTTAGATAAAAAGGTGGCAGGGGTTGGGATCTCTGTGAAACAGAAACAGAGAGAGGACTCTGGCAAAGCGAGGATGTAATGGGTTGGCAGGGCTGGGCCTCAACTCTGGTGTGAGGAAGAATCAGCAACCTAATGGCTACAGAGGGGTAGCTTATAAAGGGAAAAGAATGTGGAAAAAGAGAATATTTTTCTGGTTTTGGGGGGCTGCTTAAGGAGGGCGTGCGTGGGGTGAAACATCTATTGTAAAACCTGTTTTCTGCAACTATAGGGTTCCAGGAACCCTGCAGCTAAGGGCTTGGGAAACCTGTTTGTCAGCCTGTGGAGCATGCTCTGGTGATCACAAAACATTGGGTCATTAATTTCTGGAGCTGCTTTTGTCAGCTTGCAGGTGGCTGGGAGTTGGCTGACTTAATTCCTCTTAGGGGCCTTATGGCTTCTGGGTTTGGGGTTGCCTGGACCTGAACCCTATCATTCAGAACTGTGGGGAAGGGGACAGAATATCTTAGACAAAAGCTATTTATGGCAGCAAATGTGAAGGCAAACAAGCAAAAAGCAAAGCTCTTTATCTTGGGCATCCTTTTATTTCTCACGAGAAGATGTCACCCATGTTTAGGGTGAGACTTCTTACATTGCACAACCTGATTAAGAAAATTCACTACAGTTGTGCCTAGTAGCTTAGCTCTTAGTTGATTCCAGGTATAGTCAAGTAGACAACTGATATTATCACACAAGGAAATGGGAATCTGGAGCTCAGAAAAAAGATGTCAGGAGCCTATGAAGGTTTTACTTCATTTCTTTCTGTAGACCAGGCTGTCCTGAAACCCAGTATGTAGCCTAGGCTGGCCTCCAACTCCCAGGGATGCTTCAGCCTCTGGACTTACATAGGTGTGTTTGGCTTTTTTGCCCCCTCCCTCCCCAAAGGCTCAGGTAGTTCAAGCTCACCTCAAACACACTACATAGGTTGACGTTGACCTCCTTATCCTTCTGCCTCCACCTCCCAAGTTCTGGGACATCATCACACCTGGCTTCTTCACATCATTACTTTCAGTGTGTGTGTGTGTGTGTGTGTGTTACGTACACGTGTTTATGAGCATGGAGGCCAGAGGAAAGTGGGTGTCCTGCTCTATCACTCTCCAACTTACTCTCTTGAGACAGGGCCTTCAGTTCTCTTAACTTTCCTCTTCACATGGCTGGGGTTACAGGTATATTCAGCTACACCTGACTTTTTATGTGGGTGCTGGGAATTTGAACTTAGGTCCTCATGTTTGGGTAGTAAATACTCTTACCTGTCAACATGATAGGCCCTATGAGAAATACACAACTTACTGGTAAAAGCTGAATGTTGTCCCTACATATGATGGTTTCAGATAGGGTCTCTCTGTAGTCCCAGCAGGCCTGCAATTTGCTATGTAGACCAGGCTGGCCTTGATATCACAGAGATTCACCTGCTTCTGCCTCCTGAGTGCTGAATGCTGGTATTAAAGTTGTGTGCCACCACACCGGGATCCCCCTTTTTTTGAGATAGGGCGTCAGTCACTATGTTGACCAGGCTGGCCTTGAACTCAGAGATCTACCTGCCTAGTACCAAGTACTAGGATCAAAGGCATGCGCCACTTTACCCAGCCCTATCTAAACATTTTATAGCTTAAAAAGATTTGAGGCTGGGGCTGGAGAGATGGCTCAGCGGTTAAGAGCACTGACTGCTCTTACAGAGGACCCAGGTTTGATTCCCAGCACCCACATGGCGGTTACGAACCATCCTTAACTCCAGTTCCAGGGGAATCTGATGCTCTCTTCTGATCTCCGGGGCATTGCACGACATGGGTGCACTCACATACATGCAGGTAATACACTCATACACATAAAATAAAAATATTAAATAAAATATATTTAATAAAAAAAGATTTGAGGCTGAGATGGTGTTTAGCTAATCCTTAATGCTAGTCATAGTATCATATTCCAATGCAGTAGGGATGTTTATGTAAGTTGAGGCTGTCCTATTGGTTACACTCTGGATTGTCCATACAAAGCCACCAAGACAACACAGTATTATGGCTTTGGAAAGTTCAACTATTCATTTTTTTCAACTAAAGAAAAGGTAAGTGAAATACTTTTGAGCATAAGATACACTTAGGGCCTTGGCCTTTTGTTTCTTTTTCAAAAAATACTTTATTATTTTGTGTGTATGAGTGTATTGTCTGCATGTATGTGAACGCACCCGTGTCGTGCAATGCCGAGGAGGTCAGAAGAGGGCCTCAGATTCCCCTGGAACTGGAGTTAAGGACGGTTTGTAGCCGCCATGTGGGTGCTGGGAATCCAACCCCTGATCCTCTGCAAGAGCAGTCAGTGCTCTTAACGGCTGAGCCATATCTCCAGCCCGCCCTTTTGTTTCTTTAAACATTAATATTTTACTAATAAAATTCTACCCTTTCCCATATTGGGAAGCTTTTAACAGTTACATTGAGGGGCAAATTATTTTACTGACTCTTAACTTTCTGGCTTGTAAAAGGTGGATGAGACCAATCCTTCACTACTTTCATGATGTGGTTAGAGTTACTCTGGGCAGTTCGTGTTCTCTCACTCTGGCTGTCTAATCTAATACCTGACACAGCAGACCATAGCAAATGTTGATGCTTTATAAATAGATGAGTATTTGTTGAAAGGCTGTATAATGTGAGACAAGGTCTGCTGTGTAGTCCAGGCTGGCCTCAAACTCATAGCAATCCTCTTGCCTCGGCTTCCCTAGTGCTGATGTTACAGGTGTGAGCCAGGGGGCAACCCTGATTTAGGCTTTCAAGGAGTCATATTTAAAGTAATGCTTGACCCGATGGGTGCCAAGGGGGCAGCTGGAGGAACTGCAGCTCCTTCCCCAGCAACGCTAATGAAGCACTGCTTGCTATACAAACAGCGCTTCGACTGGTCTGCGGATCCAGTAGCCAGCCTGGATAGTGAGTTCTCAAACTCACTTCTTTTCTGAAACCCCCCGCACTTGCTGTAGAACTTTTATGGCTCTAAAATGGTAACATTTCACCTTGATGGCCCGTGAGCTGCGGCTAGAAACTTTTCCGAGCACAACATAGCCTTGGCTTCCCTACAACCCGCTACAGGGTTAAAGGCCAAGGTTACCCCAGATTCCCAGGTCTCCAGAGGCCTCCTCCTCTAGCCGCCAGCCTTTAGCAGCCACGGAAGTCTGGAAAACCGCCCGCTGTCGCAAGGGGCCTCAGGGTGGCCTGGGGGCAGAGCCACGCAGGCGCCCCGGGCGGCTGCTAGGGAGTCTGGGAACCCAGGCCACGGGCTCTCTCCTCCCGCGAGGGCGGGCGGCTTGGCGGCCGGGGTGGAGCGTGCTCTGGCTCCTCCCCGAGGCGGACCAGCGGAAGGAGGAGGCGGGCCGCGCGGAGGAGTCTCGGCTGGGCCCGCGCTGCGAGAGTGCTGCTCTGCGCCGCGCTTCACAGCGGTCTGCCGTCCCCGCGCCGGGCTGCTCCCCGACCAGGCCTCGCTCTCGGCCTCGGCGTCCACCCTTCCGAAGCGCTCCTGTCGGGTCTCGGCCTCGCGGCCTCCACCGGTCCGGCCCCATGGCTCTGTGCAACGGAGACTCCAAGGTCAGTCTCGGTTTGGGGGTCCCTGCTTCTGCCCGCCGCGGGAGCGAGGCCCGGGCCCCTCCGCGCCCCTTCCCAGCTGCGCCCTGCCGGCCGGGTGAGGGGCGCATAGCTGCCCTGCCGGGCCTTCGGTGTGGCTTCTCGGCATCCCAGGCGCTTTGTTGGCTTTGCCCGCGTGTCGAGGTCCGGGCGGCGGAAGCACCTTCCCGGCGGTGCGGGGTCCTTGTGCTGGCGATTGGGCTTGGGCCTCGGCCCTTCAGGCCTGGCCACCCTGAGGACCCCAAGGCTCGCCGGCGGCCAGGCAGGGTCGGGGCCTCGCGTGCGGCGTTGCGCCGGGCCCGCCTGCAGGCTTCCCGCCTGAGCGCTTCCCGCCCGCAGTTGAGGCCTCTCCGTCCTCGGCGCCCTGGGGCACCCGCAGAGTTGCAGCCTGGGTCCCCCGGTCCCGGGTGCGCTCTGCTCACGGCCCGAGGCCAGGCTCGGTCGCCCGGCCCTCCCACCTCCTGGGAGGGAAGTTGGTGGCCAGGCTCTCCTGCGCTGCTGGTTTGGGGGGGCGGCGGCGCTTTCCCGCCTTTGGGGTTTCCTCTCGGGAGCCTTGGGCTCGGGGGCCGGTGAAGCTGGCTAACTGCTGAGCCCAGACGCGAGCGCACAGAGCCGTTGCTGCTCCTCGCCCCCGACTCCCGGCCTCCCTACACTGCTTCCCCCTCCCCGCCTCCCCGCCTCGGAGTTGCGCACCTTCGCCTGCCTCCGCATCGGAGCCCTCTTGGGCCTTTCCCACCGCCACGGTGACTTTTGTCAGCGGAATGCTGTTGTCTTGAAATGCGTTTCACTTCACTCTCCGCTGTCTAAGGTCTGGCTTTAGGAACTTGTTACATTTCCCTTCGGGTGTGTTAAATCGCAAACTTTGGACTGTAGCGCGCACAGTCTTACAGCTTAAGGGTCTACTCTGTGAATGTCTAATACTTAGGAGTCCTTCAACACTGTGCATGCGTTAGCAGCTGTACTTTTAAGCCTAGACACCTGTGCTCAGAACAATAAACCAGATATTTCTTTTCTCTATGTTAATTGATTTGCAAAGCATTTGTCTTTAATTTTGAACCTTAAAACTCATTGGAAGAATTCATCTTTATGAGCTGAGATATTAGGACTCAAGCCTACTTTTACAAGCTTTGAAAAATATGTAGTGCAATTGAGAAGAGCGTTTTCAGAAAATTAAGTCACATTAGAAAGTTGTTTTCAAATTATCTCAACAGTATAAAGATAAAATTTTTCCAACTTTTTTAAAAAATGAGAATTTTAATCATTGTGACATTTGAGCATAAGGCGAAATAACTAAATTTTATTTCAGGGTTATATATGTATATATATATATTTGTTTGTTTGAGACCAGGGTCTCATTATAGCTTAGACTTGCTTGGAACTTACAGCAATCCTGCTTCACTGTTGGGATTACAGATGTGAGCCACAACACCCAGCTTACCTTTGTGATTTTTTAAATATACTTGCTACAGACAGAAGGAATGGTATTGTAATATGTTCTTAGGCTTCTGCTTTTTAAAAATTATTACATGTAGATGGAGGCTACAAACCACCCTTAACTTCAGTTCCAGGGGAATCCAACACCCTCTTCTGACCTCCGCGGCATTGCACAACACGGGCGCACTCACATACATGCAGGCAATACACTCATACACATAAAATAAAAATAATATAAAAAAAGTGAAAAATCTGGAGTTAGAGATGTGGCTTAGTGATAGAGCACTTTTCTAGCATTGGTGAGCTCTGGGTTTGTTTCCCAGCTGTCCTTCTCAAAAATCCTAAAACATCCACATGGGATTCCAGAACAACAGATGTAAACTAGGACAGCCCTGGACAGAGTGGGCAGCCACTCAGCCTCCCATCCACTATGGAGTGTTGAAGGGCCCAGGATGTTGTGCAAGTTTTCCACAGCTGTTGTGTGTATTTACGATTGCCATGGCCACATCATTGCCAGAAGACATATCATAGCACTCCTCCCCATCTTCCAGCTCTTGCATTCTATACTCCTTCCCTGAGCCTTGGAAGATGATACAGATGGCCCATTTAACGCTGAGCACTCAACAGTCACTTATTGTTAGTACTTTGATCAATTATGAGTGTCTGCACTAACCACTGCTCACTGTAAAAAGAAACGTGACCAAGGTTGAGAGCAACATTAATATTTATGTATAAGCATAAGTATTTAGGAAGCAGCTTGACAACATGTCCAAATGTCCATCTGGCAAAACAACAGTAGTAGGTTCCACAGCTAGCTGATCAAGACCATTGATGATCCCCATCCCATACCACCCTTCCCCCAACAGGGAAGGAGCAGGGAGTCCAGTTTGATTTTCCCCCATGTCCTGTAATCCTGTATCCAAAGCTGGCAAAACAACAGTAGTAGGTTCCACAGCTGATCAAGACCATTGATGATCCCCATCCCATACCACCCTTCCCCCAACAGGGAAGGAGCAGGGAGTCCAGTTTGATTTTCCCCCATGTCCTGTAATCCTGTATCCAAAGTGTGCTGTCTTCAGCACTAGGGTCTTTCCATCTGTGACAGTTCTAATTGTCACCTTGACACAACCTAGAATGACCCGAGAGTCTCAGTGAGGGGTATCTAGATGAGGTTGACCTGTAGGGGATTGTCTTGCCTTGATTGATGTGGCAAGATCCAGCCTAGGGTGACATTGTTCCTGGATGTTGATCCCTGAACTGGTAGCTGAGTACTAGCATGCATGCGTTCAGTTCTCTCTGCGCTTGACTGGATGTGATATGACTAGCTGTATTGTTTTTGTCACCTTGACTTTCTTGCTATGATGAACTGTAATGTAGAATCAGGAGCTAAAACAAACCTTTTATCCCCTAAGTTACTTAACATTTTTAAATTTTATTTTTATGTGTTTTGTTTGGGTGAATGTAACTGCAATGCCCTTGGAGGTTAGAAGAGGGCATCAGATCCCCTAGAACTGGAGTTGGTTGGTTGTAACTCCGTGTGGGTGCCATGTGGATGCTGGGAACCAAACCCAAGTCCTCTGCAAGAGTAGCCAGTGTTCTTAACCACTGAGCCATCTCTCCTGCCCCCTAAGTTGCTTTTTTTAGGGTATTTTATCATGGCAACAGAGATGAACTAAAACGCCATCTAGTTTTGATGGGTAACCAAGAACAGTGCAATAGCTTATGTTATTTTAGGAGCTTCTGGGGCCTCCCTGGCAAACAACTCACAGGGAGGTACCTGGTACCAGGCCTTCGAATTTTTGTTTAAAAACCTGTTACTTCTGGAGTAATATCATCCACTTAGGTTACCTCCATTCAAATTATTGATTACATTTTTTTTGTTAGCTTCTAAAGTACTAGTTTTCTTTTTTCTCTTTTTTTTTTTTCTTGTTTGAGACACGGTCTTCCTGTAGCCCCAGCTGGCCTAGAACTGGCTATGTAGACCAGCCTGGCCTTGAACTCACAAAGATGCCCCTGCCCCTGCTTCCCTAGTCCCGGGATTAAAGGTGTGTGCCACCACGCCTGGTATAAAGTATTAGTTTTCTATATGGTTTATTAATTCATTTAGTTCTGGTTAAGCTTCTTCCCTCGTCTATTCCCCTTTAAATTCTTCCACATTAGTATTTTCCAAAACTTTATCCATTTTTTTGTTAGTTTTTCCTGCTCATCACTGGAAAAGCAAGTCTTTTTATCTTTCAAAACTAATGGAGCACCATGGGAATTAAGCCAACTTTTACCTGAGTTGCATTAGGAACTTAAATCTAGGATTTCAAATTTTCTCCCAAATGAGTGTGGGTGGGTCTGGGTGAGGCCTGAGGTCAATGTTAAGTGTCTTTTGTTCTCTACCTTATTTTTTGAGACAGTTTCTCTCCCTGATCCAGGAGTTCACTGTTCTACTAGGCTGGTTTTGGGCCAGAAAGCCCCACAGCTGGATCCTCCTATTTCTGTCTCCTGAGGATGTGCCACCACACCTGGCTGTTCTGTGGGTACTGGAGATCAAACTCACTTTCTCATACTTGTGTTGGAAGCAGGACTTCAGATTTCCAAAGCCTTGCCTTGGACAGATGTTAGAACAGTCTCTCTAAGTTGGGATTTTTGTTTTGGTTTTTTTATTTTGTTTTAAATTTTCTTTAATTTTCATTATTATTATTATTTTGTCTTTTTGAGACAGGGTCTCCCTGCAGCCTCAGCTGTCCTGGAACTCACTATGGAGACCACACTGGCGTCGAACTCATAGAGATCCGCCTGCCTCTGCCTCCCGAGCGTTGGGACTAAAGGCATGCGCCACCATGCCTGGCCTTATTTTTTTTAACAGAGGGAGTATCACTATGTATCCAGGACTGCCTTTGAATTTGTGATCTTGCTTTAGTCCCTTCTGTATTGGGATTAAAGGCATGTGCTACCATACCCCATTCTTGGACAAGGTGTATTGCTTGTCTGATAGTTATTGCTCTGTAGTAGGCATTAAAGTCTAACATCAGTGAATATTTAATAGGCAAACCACTAAAGTATTTCTTTACATTGTTTTTTAGTCTTTATAATATGCTGCTACTTATACTCCTAATAGCATCTTAAATCCTTTTTAGAATTTCTGTGTGTGTGTGAGAATGCTTGTGCCACGTCGTCATGGAGGTCAGGACAGCTTGAGGGAATGAGTTCTCTCCTTTCATCATGTGGGTCCTGGGGCTCATGTTAGGCTTAGTGGCAAATGCGTTTACCTGCTGAGCCATCTTGATGTCCCAATAGCATCCGTTTGAATTTATTTTTCACTGGTACATAAAAACATTGTATGTAACAGTGGGGTGCCACATGATATTTCTGTTCATGGTGTAATGCATACCATCAACTTAAAGTGATCTATCCTGTAAACACTCATTATTTCTTTATGATAAAAACATTAAAAAATCCCATTAGCTTTTGAAATCTACAGCAAACTGTTATTAGCTGTAGTCACCCTACCATGCAGTAGCAGACCAGGACTTAGTCGTAGC